GCCGTTGATATTTTAAATAATGAATATTTCCTTCATCCACGTCTGTCTTTGTAATTGTAATGGAGTAATGTAATTTGCCTGATTGTAATGGAGTAATTGAGTGTAGTCATTTAATCACTGTAAAGAATGTATTTTATTCAAGTGTTATGTAATTTTTTAGCCACTATTGGATATTTTCATAATCCCTAATATTCATGTTGAAATTATGAAAGGAAATGAAAATAAACTGTTAAAATAACATAAAAATCAAAATGACGTCACACTGAATTATTTTTTGACCTATATGTTGCTTTGAGAATTTTAAGTTTTTTTAATCTTAAGGAAATAAAGGGAAAAAAATCGGTCTATAGGCTATTTTTGTACATTTTATAAATTAAATTAATCTGATTATTAGTCGTGATTTTTTTAGTTACACGTAACTTTTAATATTTTAGATAGAAGTAGAGAACTAATTACTTTTTAAAAAGAGAAATGATTTAAATACATATTTTTTCTGCCGAAATAAATGTTTGATAGTTGATAGCATGAAAAAGTAGTGAAGAAAGATTGTGTGTCAAATTCAAAATAATGGACAAGAAAAATGCAGGTCGGAGATGACAGTACACTGAATTCAAAGTAATGGATAGTGGAGATGACAATACATTGAAATGGCGTATGATTAATTGGCTATTGGCTAGCTCAACTCGAAAACAGTTGAACGTATATTTTTTCTCCATTTTTCACATTATCAACTTTGAATTAGATTATCTAAAATTAGTAATAATATTTTTGTAAAAAACTTTTTTATAGGAAAGCGATTCATTATTTTTAAAATATAAAAGTTTTTTATAACTAAAAAAATAATTTCGTTTTTCAAACAAGATTATGAAAAATAAAAAATACTAATAATGAAATTAAATTTGTTTATAAAACGTAAATAGTACTTAGAAGTATAAAATTCACATAAAGTTATTTTGAAGAAAAAAATGATTTTTTTTTTTGTATAGGCTATGTACAGGTTAAATATTCGAATATATTTCATTTATTTAATTAAATATAAATATTTACGTATTCTTCTTTTTTTGAAATGACATTTTTAAAATAGTATAAATTCCGATAATTGTTTTTGGCTTATACTTGTAAAAAACTACTTAAAAAAAACCGAACGTTATATTTCTGAAGTATAAATATTTATATTTTATTTTTCAAATTGAATAGTAATAAGAAAATTACACTATCTCGAATGTAAAGAGTGACTTATAAGAAATAAATTATTTCAATTTATTTAAAAGTAAAAAAAAACTTATAATTGTAAAAGATACTTACAATAAAAAATTGAATATAAATATTTGTTAGTAAATATTCAGATATATTTCATTTTTGCAAATATAATATTTTGAATAAAGTATTAATAACAAAAAAAAAAGAATAAAAAAATTGAATAAAAAAGAAGAATTAAAAACAGAATTTCCACAACTATTTATTTTCATACAACGACTTTAGATAATATAGAATTTTTGTTAGTTTTCATATACTTTGCACAAACACATTTCGTATACAAAATAAAATTCAGGTAACTTTTTTTTCTATTTTTATTTTTATGCTTTGTGTCTTTTGAAATTAATATATTCTTTATCCAGGTAATTTTTTCTTTTCTATTCTCTCTCTCTTCCAGCCTTCACGTCCACTCATTAAATTAAAAAATGGTGCTTTGACTTTTATACCCTTTTCATTTGATTTAAATGCAATCCACATGTATATTTAACGGAAGGAACAAACGAAATGGATGGAAATGACCAACTTCGCAAAAAAAGGTTGAAATAGGATTGCAAATGCCAAATTTAAAAGCATAGGGATGATTTCACAATGAATGCAAACGATAGAGATGTTTTGTGCCAATTACCCTAAAATTTTGTTATTTAATTTTATCTCTAGACTTCTTTCTGTATAAATATTAAAATATATATTGTTATTGAAACTATATTTTAATAAACAGATTAATATATCTAGAGTGTCAAAAATAACTTGGAAGTAAATAAAGTAAAAACAAAAATGTATAATCGTAAAAAGAACTTATATTATGTAAAAAAGAAAAAATCTCAATAAATTTTTTTTCTTGTATTTTTTTAAACAACGAGAATAGTTATTTTCAATAATATAATTTATCTACTTTTGTATCCCGTGAACCTATTTTAATAAGAATTTGTCTATTTTTAGTACCTCTTGTCAAATCGTGTGTTTGGCCCCCACGAAAGTTTTTTATTATTTCATCCATTTTTCAACCCTCTTTATTAACCAAGATTGCCCCATCTTTATTTGATTTCTGAACATATATTTTGGCATTAAACATGTTTTCGTGAAATTTATTGAGATCTACAGCCTTTGAGTCATGTAATTCAGACATTGTTGCTGTGTCAGTGTGCAATCATTAATGCAGCATAGAATTACGATCTTACCCCCCTTCTTTGTCCCATGTAGTGAAAAAAACAAGAGATTTATTTGTTCTTTTTGGCCAAAAGTTGGCTTTGGAAAAAGGAAATGGACCCCACGAAATAAAAAAAAAGAAGGTTGAATAATGTAAATGCATGTGAAAAAATAGTGCACTGGATTATTCTATGTAACAATAGAAGTGCAGGTATGGCACATGGGGTCCTGTCCTCTTTTAGAATGTGGCAAATAAATTGTCCTCTTTCAAAATGAGGCAAATAATGTGTTCACAAGGGACTGAATGAATAAGAACGAAAAGTACATTTTTTCTAGCCTATATAATAATGTGTTTTCAATATTTACTTACAAGAATTTTTAGCCTTCCAAATTTGCATATCTTTCTCCAGACTTGTCGGTGCTTCACTGAAACAGGTCTTTATCTATTTACCCTCTTATATTTTACGTCTTATATTTTAATTCCATAGTTTTAAGTTATAACTTATTCGAAGATCGACTGATTTGTACGAAAAAATCTATAGATGCACACAATCTCTTATTCCTTTTATTATAATGTTATAAAAACTTATTCAATCATTCATATGAAAAAAATATATACATATTATCGCTGTAAAAATTGTACCACTGCAGTACTTCAAAATCGATGTTCCACGTCGATTTTACATAACTATCAGTAATTCCCTTAATCACGACATCAATCTGGTTAGTCATACAATATTATTATTTTTTAGCTGGAATGAATTTTTCTCATATTTTACTTATAGTCTTCGTTCATATATATTTGTTTATAGATGATTCCTAGAGCGTCTGCGAAAAACTGGAGACATGAATTCGACGATACAGTACGTGTAATTGCGTACGATGGTATAATTGCAACAATAAAATTAGAAACAGTTAATGGGAAAATTTATTTAACTGATGGATGGGAGCAATTTTTCGATCATCACAATTTACACGATAGTTATTGCCTAATATTTGAATATATCGAAAATTCCACATTTAACGTGATCATAATGGATGATTCTGGGTTAGAAGTGAAATATGAGTCGGACGTCTCCGAAGAAGGTGAAGAAAACAACAATTCGAATATGGATAATCCTGTATTCGAAGTGAAGTTAACACCCCGTAAATATGGTCATCGAAAAATTGTAATTTTCCTTTTGATTAAATATTGTCATTCTATAGTTGTACTAAGTCCATATTTTGACCTCAAACTAATAATTCATTCATTGCATTGCAGTATATACCGGAAAGATTTGCCGGCCAGCATTTGCCAAAATTCGTGCGTAGTGTTCAAATTCACGACTCTTCACATCAAAATTGGGATATCACCACAAATTTAAGGCCAAATGGTGTGGTACGATGTCTCACTATAGGATGTGCACATTTTCTCTCCATGAATGAATTAGAAATGGGTGATGCATGCGTATTTGAACTACTGAACAACGCACCTCCGAAATTTTTAGTGTACAAAAAAAAAAATCACAGTGATGGAAGTTTGACAAGACTACGAGATTTTTTCATTTTAACTTGTTTTTCGTTTTGGCTATTTTTGTAAGCAATCATAATATTTTACTACAAATTTTATGTCCATCTAATTTATTACTATCTAATCTTATTGGATTTACTTTATTTACGTACTTATATATTTTAGCAACATTTAAATAACTTTTAATTTTACAATAATGAAGAGAGTCCTAGTTATATTAATAATTGGGAAAATAATTTAAAAAGTATTAAAATTATAAAAGCTAATTTAAAAGGAATTAAAATCATAAAACACTATAAACCTAGTAAATACGTCCAAAACTATTATAAAATATGGAAAGAAATATTAAAAAAAACTTAATTGAATAAAGGGACAAATGCCAAGGGATCCCAACAAACTGTCAGCCCAATAGACTCCTATTCACTTTGGTGAGTGGCCGAAATTTTGGAAAAAATTCTGCTCCGGATGTATTGCAATCACATGGTACATGTTAATGTGGTCACATGGTTGTGTGTATTCCTGTCGCTGAGTTCCCTGTGATCGTCTGTGCGACTGCATGAGTGGTTATGCGTTACGGTTGCATGCATGTAAGCTACAACCATCCCATTTCTTGTTCAAGCCAAGGTGCTTTACTCCATTCCATGTTGATCCACATTGTTCCAGCTTGCTATAGCTTCCATTTCCAACATCTAACTTGGCCCTTAAACTTGTCCCAAGCTACCCAGATTTTGTAGTTTGCCTTAGGTTGATCTGGCTCACTTCAGTCTTCATTTATTGACTTCATTCCATTTCCTGCAACCAAGTTCCTCCACTTCATTTGCCTTTGTTTCCCAGCTGGTTGTAATAAGTTCAATTGCTCTTCAACCCAAATATCAATTTTCAAATTTTGGCTTCTACTCTTCAACCTATAACTTGATTCTTGGCCCATGATTTTTAACATGCTGGACTCTTTGGTTGGAGCATAAAAGTAGCTGGCTTTATTAACTCTTCGAAGCCTCGGACTTCGCTCAATTCTTGGATTCGGTTCCTTATGAATATTGGAACAAATAACGGTCAGCTTTAACGTCCTTTTTAGCCTCCAATTATGCTAAAAAATTGACCTCAATCTCCCTTCATCAACCATTAATGCTTCCGTCGTTTGTAAGGCATCCTGAATCACATCACAACTAAACATATATTATGTCGTCTTACCTAAAAGTCTCACTGATGCTCATTGCAATATACAAACTATGAGTCATTAAAAAACAATTGTACAATCGTAATATTGTATTGAAACTTATTAAACTGCGAAATTTCATAAAACGATAGTGGATACAACTTAGTTAAAATAATCTAACATCTACATTGTAGTTGGAAAAAAAACATTTTATTTAGCATAGTCGACAGAGAATTCACGGACAAAGAAAGAAATTCCAATAAATCGAACATATAAATATAAAGAGGTGCAGTTGTGTGAATGTATGAACGAAAGAACCTCCTTGTACAAAACATTTTTAGTACATGAGTTGTGTGTATGATTTTCATTGGACGGTTTGAGTAGAACTTTAATAGATCTGCTTGTTTTTGCTCTTGACAGTGCTACATATAATTGACCATGGCAGAAAACTGGTTCTGGTATGTACAAACCCACGAAATCAAGTGGCTGATCCTGTGCTTTATTTATTGTCATTGCAAAGCACGGTCTAATTGGGAATTGAGTCCTTTTAAATGGAATCGTAGTTCGATCAGTTTTAAGAGGTATGAAAGGGATCCTAGGTAAGAAAACTTGTTTTCCACGATATTTACCAGTTGTGATTTCAACAAGAATGACATTTCTCTCAAATTTTCGATAGATAAGGCGTGTTCCATTACATAACCCCTCGGAATGATTGATATTTCGTAATAACATTACAAGACAATTCATCTTCAGTTTCAACTCATGAAGTGGAATACCATTTGGTGTCAAAGTATTCAAAAAGTCTTCCTGTAGGCTTTGTTCTAATTTCTCAATTGTTTCATCAAAACTATAGTACGTGAAACTTTGACTGGGAATTTGTTCAAGCAAAAGTCCATTAATTTAGTCAACACATTCATTTGTAGGCGTAAGAATAACACGATTGACCATCATATATAAATGATCGGCATATGTGTCTATATTGTGAAACACACATTGTATCAATTTTTTAAAGGCGTAATTTCATCTTTGAATGGTAGAACTATACTATTTGGTAGCTTAATAAAGTTGCAAGTATGTTCTTGCTCTGTTCCACCTCCAATTTGAAATAAGTATTCACAAAAAATGGGATCGAACTTCGCTCTCATATTTTCAACCAGTGCTAAATGTACAAAAGAAGGCCACAAATAAGAGTAAATCATGTTAGCCTTTATTATGTCTTTTTTGTTTCCCTTAGGTACAGCTGGTAGAATTTGTCCAAAATCGCCTCCTAAAACTATTACTTTTCCACCAAAAGGCAAGTTACAATCAGTGATGTCTCTAAGCATTTTGTCTACAAATTCTACAGCACAACGATTTACCACAGGTGCCTTATCCCAAATTATTAGCCTACACATTTTCAATAAAGTTCCTAATGCCGATTGCTTGCTAATAGAGCAGTTGATTTCACCTACCGTTTCTAGAGGGATTTTAAATCTTGAATGAGCAGTTCGACCTCCAGGCAATAAAGATGTAGCCACTTTGGACGATGCAGTTGCTAAAGCTATGAAATGTCGACATTTGACACCAGCTAATAGTGCTCTATATAAAAAGTCTTTCCCTTCCCACCCGGACCATCGATAAAAAAAATTTCACTTGATTCATCTTGTACTTTTTCCATAATTGTATTATATGTAAATTGTTGTTCTTTATTTAACGTTGCTGCACAACTAAAGTTTCTTTTAATATCCAATTTCGTTGGTTCCTCTACAACCATTCTCATCAATATTTCATCGTCGTCTATATTTACGTTAAATGACACAATTCCATAATCGTTTATATTTTTACCAAATGATTCTAAAATAGAACTTATATCCTCTAAAGCTTGTACTTCGACAACTTCAGCGGGCATATTTTCATTTACATAATCATTTATTATATAAGGCTTAAATTTATCCCACAGTAACTTAGGATTATTTGGATTGCACATTGTAAGAAGCGTAGCAAAAAGAATTCTTAAAGAATAAGGCATTTCGTAAATAATGGTTTCAGATAAACATTCTTCACAATGAGTATCTCCATTTAATAAACCATAGAGAAGCGCAGCTTCACAAAATATACCAACATTTACCCCATTGAAAGTTCTTAAATCATCAAACGATGTTGGACCTCTAATATGATTAAGAAGAAAACGAAGAAAATATCATTCTCCTTCAGATGGATTTACCGAGACAATTCATCCTACAACAATTTGCTTCTTTCTAGGTGTCCATATTTTGTTAGATACATTCCAAACAAAATGCGTTGAAAAATCTCGATACAAAAGCATTTGAGCAAATTCATTTATTTTATTTACTCGGAAAAACTCAGTTAACATAGTTTTTCTCGTATTTTCATTCTCAATAATAGAAGATAAATTGTCCGTATTTTTGTAAGTTACCCATTGATGATCTTCAATATGAAGTTGTAAAACACAAACAACTGGATATATTTTCGATAAATTGATAGCAAAAATCCTCCACATAGCTTCAGGTGGAGATATCCATCTGGCAGATTGGTAAGTAAAAATTTCATCAATGTCTTTGTCTATGTTATTTTTGCCGACCAAAAAATTAATACAATCATGTCCTTTGTATACATATTTGTATAAATATTTAACAGTTTTAATAGAAGAACATGTTTCAACATTGATATGATAGTCGAATTTTGCACTTAAATAAGGATTGTATGGCACAACCCATTGATTGTCTAACATTTTACCTCTCACTTTAACGTAAATACCAATATTACACCGCCTATACGGTGGGTACGAATTATCTCCAAACATAGTACTATTACAATAATCCTTTGGATATTTATTTTTACAACAACTATTGTTCTCCATGCATGTGTTTTTAGGATTTAGATTTCCATTAGGATCATGCATATTGTGCTTTACAATAACTGAATGAAGATAAAGATGTATATTTTTATCAGGAATTTCACAAAATACTATTTTATCAACTTGTTTAGTGGAAGAAATTTTATGACCACAGTTAAAAATCAACAACAAATGTGCAAGAGGGAGACCTTTTTTTTTTGAAATTCAATAACGTATATATGAGCTATAACATGACTAAAAATATTTCTCTTGTATAAATAATTTTAAAGTTCTTCTAATTTTGCTCTAAATACACGTACAATAAGATCCAGTCGATTTTGAACCTCATCATTATGTTTTTAATTCTTGCTTAATTTCTGGCCAATTTGGGTTACATGTTATAGTTATAAATAAATCTGGTTTTCCATAACGTTGGACAAGAGCCATAGCATCTAAGCACATCCTTAGCATATCTCTAGGTCCACATGTAAAGGAGTGTGGTAAAACAAATTTCTTTCCAATTTTGTACCCTCTTTTTTCTCCATTATGTATACTGTCTACGATACTTTGATAAAGTTCAGCACGAATTTGTTTCTGATTACTACGAAAATAATCTAATCTAGATGTCTCTATTTTAACATACATATTCACAACATATTGTTGAAAAAGTCTATCAGAGTGAAGCAACACAGACTTATCAGAAGGCCTAATTTGTAACTTATACGAATAGTACTCACGACATGATACATGAGACTGTTTCTTCTTCATATCCTTCAGCAATACATAAGCGAGAATGAATAAAATTTTATATTTACTTCAATATCACATTTGTAGAACTATAATAGACACAAGGAAATATATAAGCAAACCTGCAGCCTCTTTTTCAATAATTTGAGCCGCATAATTTACTACATTAGGATCAGCAACATTGTCCACACATTGTGCAATTTGAGAAGATGTTTGTTCATATCTTAGAATGCCTTCATGCCAACCACATTCACTAAATGGAAAGAGCAAAGGATATTGAAGAGGATCATAACAACCATAATAATAATGAACCCTATGCAAATCACCAGAATGACCATATATAGTATTATCACAAACGCGAATATTTGCATTTTCATCATCCTCAACCCATATAGCATCTACTTGAGATGCCGACGGAGTATTAAAGACTCTCTGATCGAGTCCTGGGTGGCATCTTATTTGAATTTTATGCTCATGCATATCAGTTATATTGCTTAAAGACCTAAAAAAATTACTATACGGATTTACCTTCAAGATTTCGATTAGAAGAAATAAAATAGATTCTACCAGGTGTTATGAAGTTTTCATACGGTTTTCTAGTTCATTAGCTGTATCATAAAAATATAATTACATATAACAAGGCGTATTATTATCCGGCGTAAGTTGATTTACATAATGATATACTTGTCCTTGAACTCTACATGTGTAGATACCTTTGTATGCTTTAAACAGTTCTTTATCGTACTTTATACCAAATGAAGTGAACGCAAAGTGGTTATTATATGAACGTGCATATTTTTTAAATTCCATAGATACAGGCTCTTTAGACGTAAATAAAGTATACAATTCATCCGGTGAATCGGATATAAAAGGTTTCACTTTTCTATCAGAACAACAAAAACCTTTAGTCTCTCTATACAATTTGTATGCACCACAATACTTACAATAAGCACAAGTTGGTAATACATATGCAGTTGCTGGTACACTTAACAAATTAGAGCTTCCATGTAATTTGGAATAAAAAATATTTATCATTTCTTCATTCGAAGTAGATGTCTCAGAATGTATTATATATTCATGCACATAATCAACTTTAGAAGTATTATTTGTAGATAACATACGATCATTTATTCTTTTACGACGATCAATACTTACAGTTTCATTTCGATATCTCCTATCCGCTTGCCTTTGATTTTGTTGTTGCCGAATGAAAGTATTATATGATTGACTTGTACTTTGGGACAAAGTTTGAAGATCAAAACAACCAGACTCTTCATTCATAGATTTTTCGAAAGCATCCATGAAAACAATGAACTGACCTCTGATTTCAATAATAGAAGAAATTATGAATTTAATTAAAAAGCAACAAATATTGATAATATTATATTAAACACAGTATAAACTAAATTGACTGAACTCAGATACATATAAGGAAACATTCCGCAAATCAACAATCTTCTTCGAAAATGCACGTAAAAAAAGAACTATAAACCGTACTAACTGGACGATAACAATCAAACATTCCTATACCAAACTGTTGTAATTTTAATTAAACATAAATAACAATGATCGAAAAACTTAAACTTCTCATGTAGATAATGGTAAAAAAAGAAAGATGTTGCCAAGTTGTATACACAGAACAAAAAAATTATGTTACATTACTTAAACTTGAAAAAAATAGTAAGAAATAAATACATATGAAAGAAAAAAAATAAAAAAATAAAACCTTCATAGCTATATCCAACAAATAAAGAAAAATTTACTTAGATTTTCATGTATATACAAAAAGAATAACACACCTCACATTATGTAAAGAAATATGAGCGAAGCTAAATTTTCATTTGTGGACCGAATAAAAAAACAACATATGTTAAATAAATAAAAAATAAAAAACACAAACAAAAACTAAAACTAAAATTTCCAAGGACATACCCAAACAGAATCATTACAAATTCCATGATTTTCTTCTCCAAGATCGAGATGACAACTACACGAATTTTTTTCGTACAGAAAGAAAGAAGAATATCGAAAGTTTTAAATATGGAAAGTTCTTTCATAGACAGAAGCTTGGATTTTTTGGAGACAAATCAATCCAATTGAAGGAAGGAAAGAGACTGGATAATTTGAGAAAGTGATAGTACATTACTTTATATATTTTTTATATCTTCTTTTATTTATTATATTAAATGAAAAAGACAAACCATTTGAACCAAACATCTTAAACCAGTTCAATGTGAAAATGTACATGACAAAAATATTATTCTGAGTTTTTTTTTTTAACAAGAAGCTATACAATTTCCACCAATCCACCATAAAAGAAGTAAAAAAAATATAATAAATACAAATAATTAAAATTGAAATCATTTTAATCGAGCAATTTAGAAAAAAAAATGAAAAAATTTACACTCGTAAGTAACTTGGAGCAAATTTTCTACTCGTAAGTAACTATTTACATTTTACAAATATATACTTAAAAATCGAAGTTCANAATAAAAATAATAAAATATAAACCCTCCTCCTTTATCCGGGCTTGGGACCGGCTACTTCAATAGTTCTTTTTTCGAGTAGGCGAAGTTAAAAATTGTACACGAATAGAACAACTTGTTACGTGTACAATTTTTTTTAAAAAATTATAAAGGTATTAAAATAAAAATTCATTATAAATATGATTAAACTAAATATCACTTACTTGACTACATGCAATTTCGGCATATTTATTTTGCAGTCGAAAATGAGCGTCTTGCCAATCCTTCACGCACATTAATGCTTCCAAAACATCTTCTTTTAGACGATTCCTAACATCAGAGAGAACCGTAGACCCTGCACTAAAAGCAGATTTCGAAGCTATAGTGTTAACCGGAGGTGTTAGTAGATCTTTTGCCATTGCAGAAACTATTGGCCATCGGCGTTCATACTTTCGCCAGAAGTCAACTACTTCTTCTGAATTTTTCCTTAATGCATTGTTACTAGGCCAATTATGATTAAAGTAATCAAGTAATTCAGCAGGCAACGCATTTTCACTAGTACATGCAGTAGAAGACAAACTACTATGACTGGAGGAATCATATGCATTTCCAATTTGACCATACCTATATGAGTTCATACCTTCAAATAAATTTAAAATTTCAGCGTCTTCATCTCCTAAATTAGTGGGAGGAGTACTTGTAGAGCCGAAGGGTACACGAGTAACTTGTGTACCCATTCGTGAAGCATATATTACATACATTTCAGATAAAGTTGCTTCCAAATTCCTATAGGTAATAGGTATGTTAAAAGTTAAAGATTCTGACATTCGCTCAATTATAAATTTAGTACCAGATAAATTATATTGGGGGTCCATGATGCATGCTAACGGAAATAACATGGGCAAGTCTTCCCAATATTTTCTAAACTTTAATTCCATGGCATTTATAACTGAACTAAAATCGGGGTCATTTTTAAATCTATCAAAAGCCCTAGCAACTAGATAAAGACGTTGAAGGACCATACAACTAGTAGGATAATAAACACCAGACAAAATATTTGTAGCATCATAAAAACTTTTCAAAAAATGTTTAATTTTAGTAACTAAAATCCAATCGGACTCAATCAAAACAGTTTCCTCGTCGTCTCTAAAATGCCTACTGTTATAAAATTCAGTAATTAAATGTTCGAAACCTTCACATGATTTTAATAATAAATATGTGGAGTTCCATCTATGCGCTACGTCACTAATAAAAGTTTTTGAATGCGACACCCCATGTTCGGCACAAAAGTCCTCAAATGCTTGTTTTCTACTAGGTGAAATAGTAATATAAATTAGTGCATCCCTAATTCGTTGAATTTCATCCTTAACATGTTTTAAACCATCTTGTACTATTAAATTTAAAATATGACATACACATCGAATATGAAATAAAAAACCACCAAATTCAGGTTGAAGTACTCTTTGCAATTTCTCGATAACAGGCTTATTTACATTAGCGTTGTCGAACGTAAAAGAACGAATTTTACTCTCGCATTTATATTCTCTAATAACGTTCATAATAGCACTAAATATATTGGGAGCATTGTGCGGGTACTCAATAATTTTAAAAGCAATTATTTTTTTATGCATGATCCAAAGTGGGTCTATATAGTGTGCAGTTGCAGCCATATAACCTCTTTTATTAATTCCTTCCCATAAATCCGAAGTTAAAGATATTACACCCCCATATTTTTCTAAATCGGCAATCAATGTTTT